TGCTGCTGCTTGCTGCTGCTGCTTGCTGCTGCTGCTTGCTGCTGCTGCTTGCTGCTGCTGCTTGCTGCTGCTGCTTGCTGCTGCTGCTTGCTGCTGCTGCTGCTTGCTGCTGCTTGCTGCTGCTGCTGGCTGCTGCTGGCGGCTGCTGCTGCTGCTGCTGGCGGCTGCTGCTGCTGCTGCTGCTGCGGCTGCTGCTGCTGCTGCTGCTGCTGCTGCTGGCTGCTGTTGCTGGCTGCTGCAGCTGCTGCTGGCTGCTGCTGCTGCTGCTGCTGGCTGCTGGCTGCTGCTGCTGCTGCTGCTAGTAGTCGTCGTCGTCGTACTGGTAGTGGTAGTGGTAATGGTAGTGGTAGTGGTAGTGGTGGTAGTAGTAGTAGTAGCAGCAGCAGTAGTAGCGGCGGTGACCATTACCACCTACTACTACTACTACCACCACCACCACCACCACTGCTACTACTAGTGCTGCTGCTGCTGCTGCTGCTGCCTACTACTGCCATGGTTGCTTCAAGTACTGCTCCAGAATGCTGAACCCCGAAGTCGCGAAAGCCCTACTCCTCATACCGATATTTCTAGAAGCTTTTTTTTGCATGGAGAGGATTTGTCTTCCACCCGCAGCTTGGGCCGCATGGCACGTGCGGCATCTCGGCAGCAGCCGAAGATTCGGCAACCAGGTCTGCTAGAGGCTGCTAGAGTTTATGGGGCTTGTGAGAATTAAAGTTTCACTTGTGGGTGCTGTATTTATGTTGCTTCGCCCAGTTAGTTATTCTCCGGACCTACTGAATGATATGTAGTAGGTTGGGAGTATGTCATAGGAGGGTTTTCCTTCAGAGATATACTGAAGCATGAAGAAACTGGATGCGGATTGTCTCCCAAAATCTTGGCCCGCAACGTGTCAACACGTGCATGCCGCATGCACTCAAGTCTGTCATTTTGGGACTGGCCTTCTGTATGAAAAGCACTGAAGACTTATGGCCTGCAGAGGCATCGACTTTCAAACGATTCATGTCCAGGTGCGTGTGCCATCATGTACCTCACTTTCGTCATTTCGCCTGCAATGGTTAGCATGATTCTGATTGCTTCTGCCTCTGCTTGTTTTTGCTGCTATGACCGTTGCTGTGCCCATATGTATGCCTGCCAATACTTTGTCATGACTGGTATTTCACCCTGCGCTTCATTCTACGCTCATACAATATCAATTTTGCCACGACGATTGTCGCATCATGCCTGACATATTCAACCACTGTGTCGTTCTCGGTGCTGTTACTAAGAGAGTGGTCGCTGTGTACTTCTCGGATTATTGGCATCATTGCCAGCACTCGCCAGCATTGTCTCAAACTGTGTTTACATCGACGGCTTCGGGCTTCGAGTTTCAACAGAGCCAAAGCGATGCTAGAAGGAAGCCTTGACACCACCCGTTGAGAGCCAGGCAGCAAGCAAAAGGAGGCTGCAGAAGCAGAGCCCGTCGAAGCGAAGCGTGCAAAAGAGGTGACTGAGTTGCACTTGCCCGAATGGCCGAGAAGTGGTGCAGGGTTCGGGCTTGCAGTGATCGCCGTACTGTGGATAGCGGCGTCTGCGGCGAGATTTTCAAGCCACTGCAGTTCTGCAGGAAGGGCCTAGAGTCCTCGAGAGTATTCCACACCTGCCCTCCTTGAACTATTTTGGAATTAAATAACCGAATTAAAATTTTAATAATATACTAATTCAAATATCGACTTGAAATACTTGGGCAAAATGAAGCGTGAGTCATGCAATAGTCAGTCTTTGGCGAGACGCACAGGCTTGAGCACAGGCACGGCTGGCCTCTTGCAAGTCCAAGCCAGAACTGGCTCTACACACTCCTCACCTAATGAGGAACAAGTGCTAGATCGTCATTCGTAGATGGACCCTTGATGTGAACACTTTGTAACCCTTCATTAACGGCATTCGGTTTTTCTGAACATCAGGATCATGAAGATCAAGAGCGCTCCACGATCGCGATCCCGCAAGTGAGGGCAGGAGGACGTGAAAGCTGACACAAGTCAGAAGCCACATCATATATGCCCAACCTCTGTTTACATCGCAAGATCACACACCTCCGTATGTGTGCACACACACGGACGCACGCGCAGAGTGCCACAAGCAAAAACTAGCAGCATGACTCTACCTTTCCGATGGGACACAGAACCAAAACCAAGAACATGCTGGTCCTGTGCTGCATTCTTTCGGGGAGACAATCCCTACATTTTACCCTGACCGTGCTGCATACGTCGGTCAAAGTTTGATTTGACTCTGAATGTTAAGCCCTAAACCCGTAGCCCTGCTGTATATCGCAGAGAGAGTTTACAAGGCTCCAAGCAGACTCTGACCAGCGTGTTTCGGTTGGGCCAAGTTTGAAGGTGGCAAGGCTCAGAGAAACTCACTGAGCATGGACTAGTAGACTGGATCTGTATTCGGGTTGGCTTCCGCATGCTTCTTTGCATTTAATTAAATCATGAGCTCAGACACCAGCATGACTTTTTACACCTGTCGAAGCTTTTCATGAGTCTTACCCCTTACATCCGACATGTTGTGGTCGCCGAAGTTTCAGGCCCATCTGCTAACACAAACAAAGGACTTCGGAAGCCCGATCTTTGCGGACCCCAATGCCACAAGCATTCTGGTAGCTCTGTGCCGGGATGCCGCCTTCACGGGGGAAGGTTGCCAGGGCCGAAGACTTCCGGGGGTTGGCTCATAGCCACCTTCAATTGCCGCCCTGGCAGATGATTGCAATGCTATGCCATTGCGTCAATGGGAGCTCGCTCTACGTGAAAAAGGGCACTTCAGCATCTTCACAGTTGAAGTTTGCGGTTTAGTTTAGGCTTAGGATGATGGTTCAGGGTTGAGGGTATTGGTTTTTGGGCTGGGTGGCATAAAAAGGGCCCAGGAATGTTCTAGATAGCATATGCTCCAGGAAAGCATGTCAAATCTCCACCCGAGGTGATTTGTTGCTCCTATGCGTGAGCGAAATGGGAGTTTCAAAAACAACTAGGGGTAACTTGTCGTGGGGGGTGATTATGGCTACTTATATGGTCCCGCACATTAGTGGGTCCCATCATTTTCGCAAACGGTCATGTCTCGATGATGACAAGGAGTCTTGGCAGCGAGCTTTCTGGGTGGGGTTCAGCAGCTCTGGTGATGGGTTCGGGCGTCTCCTGTGCATGTATTTACAACCCTTTGTGTGAGCACAAACCTCTGAACCTGGCCTGACCTCTAAACCCTTGAAACCCCTGACCCCCAGACCCCTGCAGCCTTCGCAGGCAGATGAATTCTCTGACCTGGGACGGTGCCACACCCAGCTGTGTTAGAAGTAGCAACGGATTGGGGTCTGCTCAAAAGCTGAGTCCAGGGACATGGTAAGTCGGTAAGCAGAAAGATTCTGGACGGGGCTAGTTCCTTACTGGGGATCCCTTTAATGTCCCTACTCGAAAACCCTATCCTGCATGCCCTACCCCCGCAGCAGGTTAAGCTTGCGGCAATCCGTGGTGAAGAAAGCACCGGCGGGCTCAGGTTTCAGGGATTAGGGTTTGAGATTTGCGTGGTCATACAGTGTGATAAAGGCAGAGTATCATGTTGCGAGATCTACAACTCATGTTCCGAGGTACACTTGGGCGGCCCCAAATCGGCGATGAGCCGCTGAGCCCGCCCTTGCGCCTTTCTCTGAATGGCTTCAAGCTGTTAAGCTACTGGCCAATGCATGGAGCCGTGAATCTATCATCGTCCTCGGGCCATCTTGCTGACATGGGAGCTGCTATAGCAAGCGAGTGGTGGCATGTTCCATGTGTTCTTCGCCAGGAGTTGAAGATCATGAGCCTCAACGGCTGCACAGACCGTAGACCAATAGTAATCAACGGCCGGTTATTTTGTTATGTTACATGATCCTGCCTTCGAGAGTCGTTGTGGTCAGGAGCTGCCTGGGCGACATGAGCCACTCGCTGCTATGGTTCGTCTGCCTGGGATTGTGATTTCTCGAGAATCTTTACAGGTTTCAGGCCGTCGAAGCAATCCTTGTGAAATGTGTTCCTGGGGTCTCCGAACCCCTAGAAATCCTGGAAACCCAGCTCTAAACTGCCCTGTGATAGCAGGGTCTAGCTTTGGAAGGCCCATCGTCCGTTTTCAGCCTGTTGGTAATTCTAAGTCGGTTCTGCTGAGGCAGAACAGATCCCCTCAAAACAATTATACTGCTAAAGCCTTAAACCATCCTTGATTGCTTTAGTAAGCTGCTGATTCGGTGGCATCTTCCCGGACCGCAATGTTCGTAGGACTTCCAGGCTCTACTCAGCTTCCTGAAGCTGGCACGAAATTCTTTCTAATTTCCCGCTGCAGTCGAATGCCCTAACGATGTAAACCTGATTCCTAACACGTTGCGTAAGCGTTTAGGGTAGTTTAGGGTCTATCAGTAATGTTTCGTATGTATACATGCACACGTAGACATACTGCGGTAGCTACGCAACCACGCGAAAGCCGAGGCATGGTCGCCAAGGAGGTGCGCGACCAGGTTGTCCTGTTACGTTCTTCGTTAGGCTTTTGGGGAACGGAACCTTAATAGAGGTCACTATCGATGGTGCGGCTGACCGAATTATAACATGGATGGACAGAAGCTTGCTTAGTATTCGGCTCGATTTCACCAGTATATGGAAGCCTGGTTTTCATGTCGTGACGGTATTATTGACTATTGCGATCCAGTACCTGTTGAACTGCGAGGTATTGCAAACTAGCACGTGTTTTGTGTTAGCCACTCAAGCACCATCCGGAAATTCGCGCAAGGTGTCCGCGAACGAGTTTGAGATTTCCCCGGTCCTGGGCTCAAGGAAAAGCAATTGCCCCAAGAGTCAGGCGGCTTAAGCTTCCCCGCGAGCTACCCCGCCGCTGTTTGAACTAGGCTGCTTGCACCGGGCTGTCGTCCTCGATCCTGAGTAAGACCTCCAAGCAAAGAGGCCTCGGAGCCTTTGCTCGAGAGGCGCAACACAGTGCCACAGCCGCAGCTCAGTTGCCGCATTCGAGAAGTTGCAAACCCTGGTCCTAGACCTTGTAAACCTAGTATACCCTAAGCAGGGAGTTTTCTAGGCATCCCCAAGCAAGCGTTGCAGATTTTCAGTTTGCTGCGCATTCATCGGACTTCCCAGTGGTCCTACCGTTGTCAGTAAAACATTGGGAATGCCCACTGAGGACAATAGCGGCGTCTACCAGTGGCTGCATCCTTGGGGGCCAGCTCAGGCTGAGTTGCAGGTTCGAGCTCGATCCCCTTGTCCGTCTCTAATTCTTCCCCTCGACGCCTCTCCCTCTGACATTCCCGCTCCCTCCCTTACTTTTCCATGATGCTCTCTCGCTCTCTCCCTCCCTCACTGTATGCCCCTCGTTGAACCTGCGCTTGTACTCGAGACGCTAAGGGTTCCGTCAAGGAAGATCCAAAGAGCCCAGCAGGCGTGGCAACGCCAATTACACTCCCATCACGATGTGTTTCTTTTCATTCTTATAATGATTAGAACCCGACTCCAACATACACATATATACATACATACATGCCTGCATGCATGCATACATACATGCATGCATGTATCATATACGTACACTATGATTCACCATGCTCACATCGCAAGAAAGAAAGATTGGGCATCAACGTCCCTGCGTGTCTTGGGCTTGGCCTCCAAGGATGGGTGGCCTCGCTCTGGCGCTCCTTGCAGGAGCCCTGTATGCGGCCTTACGCTGAGTGGACAGTCAGGCCAGCAGTCAAGCCGGGCAGGTTTCTGAGATGCCAACATAAAGCAAGGATTCCCTCAAGACGGGCTTGCCAGAAGCCCTTTGACACCGGAGGTGACGTTACTGATACCCTGGCTGAGGTCATGTATGTGCCGCAGCTGCTGTGGAAGACTCGTCTGCAGGAAGAAGGCACGGAAGTTGCAGACCCATGGGCACCACACGGCCGTCGATGCTGCTCATGGACTTTCACGAACCACCGTGCATGATATCGCACATGCAACATGGATAAGTTCGCGATTGCATGGTCATGCGAACCTTGTGTCGGTCATTCACGGCCTATGTCTGGTGACAAAGCCCCATGACCCTTCTGACACGGTCAAGCTGGCCCCACCAACTTTCTAATGCCAAGTCGCAGCAATAGCACTGCAAGTAATCTAGGGGCCTGTAGTGCTTTTGGCCATAGAGTTTCATGATGCATGACACTATCCCGCTACGTGTATGCATGCATACATACACACACACACACATACAAACATAACATAACATAACATACATATATACATGCACGTTCTATGTATGCGTGTATGTATGTATCTGATTATGTACATGCACTGCGTGCATACCTTGTGAATACATACATGCATGTACAGACACACATATGTATTCATATTTATATGTGTAGGTATAGACACACACACACATATATATATAACACATATATATATATGTATGTATGTACAGAGATATATATATATATGTACATGTATATGTATGCCTAGCTGTATATTCATACAAATATACTATAGATACAGGCTTTTATCTATACGCGGATACCGATAGATACATAGTTAGACAGATAGATAGACAGATAGATAGATAGATAGGTATCTATCTATCGGTCGGCCTGTCTATCTATACACCGAGCTAACTGTCTTTTTCATGTACCTTTATGCACCTATCAAGCTAGCTAGCAAACTAGGTCGCCATTCTTAGGCTGCTACATGATCAACCGTAACCCTGGAAGAAAATCTGTCGGATGGTGTCAGTGGCACACAGGCTACATTGCTTCCGGCCTGGACTACTTCTACTCCCTCACTGTCCTTCGGCTTGATGCGGAACCACAAACCGTCTCCCCAACCCTCAACGAGGAGATCCGGTTTTGAATTGGGGATCCAGGATGACCGCATCCCTTGGCGCTGTCTTCTAGCATAGGGTTGCCAGCTGCCCCCAATGATCCTTCGTGTGGTGTCCAAGCCTTGCTTCGGGTTAAACACCGCATAAAAGTAGCTGCGTAGCTCAAGGTGCAGAATGGCCCTAGGGAGCCTGAGTGAGCATGTCTTGTGGATGCAGAGCACCAGGTAATGCATGTCATGACAGAAATTGAGGCGACGACTGAGGAATGATTTAAGACCCTTGCTGCAAGTAGTGCGAAATTATTCTGTTGGTTCTTTGTGTAGTCTTCCTTGCCTTTGATACCAGCACCAATGCCAGCACTGATCCCGTTCTGCCACGGGCTACTGTGATCCAGATATTGCAGTGCTTTGTTGCATTGCCCGGCTCGACGTGTCTGCTCAAGCTGCAGCCGCAACCATCGACCGTCCTTCCTTGTCATTCCTTGCCGACAGACTTTGCAGCATCATGGCGACGAAGCCACTTGGATGGGATTTTGGCTGATGGCAAGACCCTTCCAAGGTGATCCACTTGGGCGGGTGTACTTCTTGGTCTTGCACCCGAAGCTTTCGAACTCTCGGTCATGCTAGCCTACCTGCAGGTCCTCAGTCCTTAGAATCCAAACTTGTAACGGAAAGCGATCAAGTTGCGGATGGCGAAGCACGACTCCTTTCAGTTGGGGGGTGTAGAGATGATGGCTGCAGGTCTAAGTCTAACGACATTTCTCAATTTGTCGAAGTTAGGGGTAGAGCTTCCTTTAAGGGATCATTCCACGATTAAGGAAGAGGATTTTGTTTGAAAAGCCCGGTGTCTTCCGTTTTTTCCTCAGGGTGGGCATCAACGGATTCGGCCGTATCGGGCGCATGGTCTTCCAGGCCTGAACAGCCGGTTAGACAAGGGGCCTTAATTAGAATAGGGTTTGGGGTATGTTATACTATAGTTATAATAGTAAGGAACCCCCAAAACCCCAGGAACTCCTTCCTACGGTTATGACAACGGTCGATAACCCCATGCAATTCTTAATCAGTCTACTGTCCTTTGTCATGATTCGAACGGCGGGTTTGCCTGTGGCAATTTCGTTTGCATATGTCCGGCTCTTTCCACAGGTCACGCGTCTCCTTCTGCCAGTTTCCTCATTTACACAGACTGCATTTGCCGTCCTTGTTCCCTGAACACGAAGTATCTGTAGCACCTCTCTGCCGCAGGGTAGATATATACGTAGGGTTAAGAAGTGTTAAGAACATGTTAGGAGTTAGGTCACTACAGGTTTTACTACTAAACCACTCGAGGTACTTTTGAAGCCTAGTTATGGCTGTAGCTCGTTCGTCTCAGAAAATTCGGCATTTTGAACCCTGCCGCTCCAGACGCGCGACGTAGCTTTGGGCTTGCAAGCTGTGCCATTCCACCTTAGCTCAGGCAAAAGCCCCAAAAGCCCATGTGCAGCATGTGCACTTGTTCCGACGGCTGCGCTGCAGACATATCAACCCAGGACACGGCATGGAGTTTCGGCATCCATTCCGGCAACTCTGAGGGCCGGGACTCGCTGCCGGAGGGACTTTGCGCTGTCTTGTGCAAGCACCGTGAGGCCATTCAGTCGATTCGCCAGCAACAGGTTGGTATCCTAAAATCGCTGTCGGATTTGGAGGACGCCTGGTTGCAGTCCGTGGCCTTGCAAGACTTTGACGTCCGTCTTCACGAGGGGACGACAGGGGAGATGGCTGGCACTCCTGATCAGGATGGCGAGGCCCGGCCCCGACAGACCCTTGAATGCATGGCCATGGTGACGGAAGCGACGGAGAATCTGGAAGCCCGCCGTAACATCAGCATCCACAAGAACACGGAGGTCTCCCGCGTTTTGGCCAGGATCAAGGAGCAGAACACCCGATCACAGCTAGATCCACCATCGGTGGAGGAAGGCTTTTGGCCGCATCTCCGCTTCCATTGCCAACGTCTCGTCGATGCAGCTTGGTTCGAGTGCTTCGTTTCCATGGTGATTGTGGCGAACTCAGTACTGATCGGCTTGGAAACAGTGACTGGGCCTTGTTGAAGAGCTTCATTGATGTTTTCGTTCAGGGACCTTTACAGTAGCACATGATCTGCTTTCCTAATTACAATACCTTTAGCAAAGATACTTGCTTTCCTGCTCATATCTTATTGTGGTCTCTTCAGCCAAGATACCCAACAAGAGCCCAGGAGATGTCGTTGAACGGCCAAGATCAGACCTGGGCCCATGGTGCCGAGATGGCGTTTCTCTTCATCTATGCTGTGGAGATTCTCGTCCGTTCCATTGCGCAGCAGTGGCTTAGTGGAGTGAGTCAGATTTGACCTGTGTGTCCTAATTGGTGGAGTGCAAAGAGGTGTAAAAGCCGCAAAGGCGGAGCTTGAATCCGCAAGTAAGGTGGGCTTGCTTACGAGATTGGTGGTTCCTTTTTGACTTCTTCTTGGTGCTCGGGGCTTGTGCAGGGCAGCTGGCACTTGTGTGGACAGGAGAGTCGGCGGAACAAATCATGGTCCTTCGGCTCCTGCGCTTAATGCGGCTAGCTCGCAGCCTGCGCATGATCAGGCAGATTCGATCGATTTTTCGGCTCGTCTACGGACTAATCACCTGTGGCGAAACCATCTTCTCCACCTTTGCCTTGCTTTCATTAGTCATCTACGTCTTCGGCGTGCTTGGTGCTGAGGTCATCGCAAGCAACACAGAACTCCAGGACAACCCCACGACTGGCCCGATCATTACAAACCACTTTTCCTCGTTGGGCATGACGATGATGATGTTGACACAGTTCGTTACGATGGACTCCATTGCCTCTGTCTACAAGCCACTGATCTTGCAGGAGCCTCTGCTGCTGCTCTACTTCTTGCCTCTCGGGGCCATCGTGTCCATCGCGCTCATGAACTTGATCACGGCTGTTCTCGTGGAAGGTGCACTTGAGAGTGCCCGACAAGATCGCGAAGAGGAGCGCAAGATGGAAAGTATCACCACGAAGCAGATGCTGCCGGAGATCATGAGAATCTTCGAGACACTAGACGCAGATGGGAATGGCGAGATCGACATCGAGGAAATGGCCCGCTTTGATAAGCCAGGCAAAGGCGGGGGCAGTGGCGTCAACCGCCGGATCTTGGACCGTGCTGCGGTGGACAGCATGGAGGAGCTTTTCACGATTTTGGATGTAGACAGCTCTGGGCGGGTCTTTCGCATGGAGTTTGAGGAAGGGTTGCTGAACATCTTCCTCCGTGAGGTGCCTGTGTCATCACTCCAGATTCTGAAGATGATCCGGCTCCTCCGCGATTCCATCGGCGAGCTGCATGCAGAACTCAGGAAGCTCCGCTGCCCGGGTAATCTCTAGTATAGCTCGTGAAGAAAATTATGCTGATAATTATGCTTCTTCTTACGATCATTCCTTGTCCCTGACTATGGTTAATATGGTCATCCGATAGGTTAGTTCACATGCCGAGCCTTCTTGCGGGCTGGGGGCTCAGTAAACTTCGGAGTTCTTGTGGAACCACAAGAAGTGCAGTAGAAAGCTGCGGAAGGAGAGTTGCAACCGAGCCCTGGGCAAAGCACCCGGGATGTGGGCAAGGCTGCGGCAGGACCCCTCCTGGGATAGTTGAGAGTTTGTTGGAAAGTGTGTGGTCCATGCGAAGATTGCGGAAGTTGTGCCGGAATCTCTCCAGCTGAAGCTCTGTGCTGCCGCGGCTTCCCTCTCCTCGGTGGGATTGATTTTACTCCATGTGCCTTAAGGGACACGGTTTTCTCACCATGTCTTGCTCTTGCTATCTCGCTTTTGAGAACCAGCTGGCTGCAGTAATCCGACTGCTCTGCAAAACTGAGGACTTGGGTTTAGGGCATAGCGATAAGAGTTCAGGATTCAGGATGTAGGCTTTAGGGGTTTTGGGGGCAAGGTGCATTCCAGAAACCAGAGGATTTCTCGGGCCGTTAAAGCCGAAAGGTTCGGTTCGAACACCAAGGCAGGGCCCAAAGCCTTCCAGAGCAGGGGATTGTAACCTTCTACGGCTCAGGGCAGTTCAGGGTTTGTAGTTTAACTAGTGGTCAAAAGCTTACGATGTGGGGGTTTAGGGTTAAGGGGTTTAGGGTCAAGGGTTTGGGGATTTAAAGCAGTTACAGGTTGTTGCAACCTCACTTAAACTACCTATCACCGTGCCTCCAACCATGAAGCTTCAAAGTTGGAGCCAGCAAAACGGAGCAGCGCTTGCCGAGAATAAACTGGAGCCGTGTCTCGCTTGGCAGAACCCCAGGTGTGAGACTCGAACCTGAGCCCAACACCCCCTCCCGCCTCGACTTTACTTCATGAAGTCATCAGGAGACAACCTACTTGCTGGGCCTCCTGATCCGTAAAGAACTCCTCGAGCGACTTGAATCCGATTGAGCCCAAGTCGCGAGGCCATTTGCGATCAGGGCTTGCTTGGCTCCAAGCTGGACGTTGCTACTCGCCTGGCACAGCCTACTTGCATGTAAGTATAGTTGCAATACTCGTAACAAGTACTTCTGTTAACCCAATGGCTTATAATGACAATCGTAAGGCTGATGACTAGTAGTGAAAGTAATGATGATAACAGCTTTCCCCGCCAACTATTCCAAGCCGCGAGGTTGGTGTGGTCGACATGTCCACCGATGCTGAGCACCCGAGCTGCACGTGGGCCGTGAAAATCAGGTGCAGTGGTTGGGCACCGTTGTTCCCGTCTGCCCTTAGCTGCAAAGCCCCAAAATAGGAGGATCCATATTCAGAATCCTCACAGCAGCCGAGGTTTCTCCATTTTGGTTCCCACATGGTGATAGCATGTGGTAGCCGACGGCCTTAAATGTCTCCAGCCGTTTGAGGTACTTCGCCTATCAGATGAAGTATGTGCTTTGGTCGCATCAAAGCAACATGGACTCGGAATTACATGTCACCGTTGCACAGTTGCACCTGCGAGAGGTATGTTGTTGTACCTGTTTGTGTGTGCACCTGCTGTTGCATCAGCAACTTTGTCAGTCTTCCTGCTTGTGCCAGGCATGTATTTGCATACGTTTGGTCCAAGCCCTAAACGTCGCCTAAAACCCGTAGCGACTAAGAGTTTAACAGATTTTACAGTTGTGGGGAGTTGCCAATTACGTTATTCGGGGCCCCGTTGGAAGCTCCGAAGGACACCGTTCATGGCAAGTTCAAGCACGATGTGAAGATCGGAGATAAGGAGCGCCAAAGGGTTTATGGGGTTGAGGACTTTAGGATTCATAACAAATCCGGGCTTAGAGTTGAACATTCTGGGCTATATGAGAGTTGTTCTAAACCCCCGCTTCTTGACCGTAGACTAACAGCGCACTTCACTATTGCAATGCAGCTTTAAGACGCTCCAGCACCAGCACGGCGCAAGGGCGAGCGCAAGGGCGTTAAAGTAGTGTAAGAAGGTTTACCAAGGCTTCAATTAAGGCGGGAATGTGTTCAACACCGCCTGCGCGCCAGGGCGAAGCGCAAGGAGATTTTCGAGTTACGGGCTGCAACCATAATAAAGAGCAACCCCCATATGTCCGTTAGAAATGCTTCGGATAGTTGGTTGTAAGCAGTTGCAGTTCTACTGTACGGTAATAAATGAAGTTCGGATCAGAGTGACAACCTTATGAAGTTAAAGCTGTTGTTGACGTCCCCCCGTGATGTTCACAGACACTTTTTTCCTCCGTGGATCGACAGGCTTTGGGAGAGAGCTATAAGCAAAGGTTCATGTGGGACCTGTACGAAGAGGGATACCCAGATCACAAGCCTCGCAGTTTGCGTAGGGGCTTCAACAGCCGGTCACAAGACTCCTCCTGCATCAGTTTAGGTTCTACAAGACATGCCAGATTCTGGGTTCGATTCTGCATGCTGATTGCCAGGATGAACTCATTGTCAATGGCCACAAGAGCAGCTTCCGCATTTAGAGATCCGTTTTCGCTTCCCTCTTGGAGCTCAGAGCTTGAACTGAGACCTAAAACGACGAGAGCTCAGGGATCCTCGAGAGACGTGCGACTTATGCTGTGATACAAGTCACGAAGACTCAGTGCGGAGAGAGATGTACATTACACTGTATGTGCCATTGTAGTTGTATAGAGTAAAAAAACACACACACACACACACACACACACGCAATTTGTATGTATGTATATGTATATATATATAGGACATTTTCAGGTCGGTAGTTACCGTTATAGGAGCCTTATAGAAGGTCTATATACCTTATAGAAGCTTTATAGAAGCCCTATCTACCCTAAACTCCGCACCTGTCGTTTCC